CTACGGTCAACCAATCGTAATGATCAGTAATCAGAATAATAATGATGAAAAAAAATTATTAACTTGCTGTCACAGAATGAAAAAAATCAGAATGATTTTAGGGCTAGTAACCACACCAATCTCATTTATATTGGGCCCTTTAAAAATAGTTAACAAACAGACGGTGATACAACTGGTAATAATTACCGCATGATAATGTCGAACAGCTTCTTTTTGACTGGACCGTTTGGGGTAAAGTTAAATTGTATCGTCTACCTGATTGGTTGATGGTAACCAACACACGGAGGCACAATATCTTCTACGAGATATTTATTATACATGCTTAAAATAGAAGCAAACACTTAATTTTCCTTGTGGCAATGAGTAAAGCATTATTCTCGCGGCAGGACTGATTGTTTCTTCAAGGTAATTTCTAATACACATACATATAACGTTCATCATGTTGAATGCTATAGATATTTTGCAACAATTTGACAAAGTGCCTGTTTGAAAAGGACCTTCTAGAGAATGATTTCGAAAAACATGGCGGAAGCGAATCTCATTTTATGAATTCGACTTAGTTCATCCGTTCTGCTACGGCTTGTTTTTCGTCGGAAAAATTAAGCAGTTCCAAATAAAATAAAGAGTGGCAAATTTTCAATGTCTATATGATGTCCCTTATCTATGTACATATATTAAAGCTCTGTTTAGTGCTATTATGACATAGTTGCTTTAAGGTGAATTAGTGAAGTTTCGTCCATATGCAACGTAACACGCGAACAGAGTCATGCAAATGTAACACATTGTGTTCAGCTGGGTTCAGCTGTAGCAGGCACTGTCACGTTGACCTACAACAGCTTCGCACGTAGAAGACGTCGCATACGAGGCCGAAAGCGGACAGGCGCGCATAACGTACAGATATGGCTTTGAACGGATTTTGGCTACCCTAACAAAAAATAAAAACAACATTCCATATTGAAGTTAAGCGCCACCTAACAAGCAATCATTGTGCAAGCCAAACCTTGCTTGTGATAATAATATGGGATGGCGAAGTACTTTGTTGTACTTCTACTACAATTACTAGTAATAAAAATATTTATGCGGCAAAAAGGCCTGACGTGCGCTAGCTGTGTGATAATGGCGAAGTATTCCTTCCGAGTGCCTTTAAATATCGCCTATATCTATCCGCCTCCATAAGTACTCGCAATACGTTAAAACAAATGCAAAATGTTCCCCGTATGCACCTGGCAGGTATCAGCGCAAGCGAGCTATATACGCTGAATAATATTTCTATTGCGTGCAATAGAGCAGTCACCGTAATCACAACTTTGCTGATAAAGCCAGGTCAACTACCTAATATAGTTATTTCTCAGCGTTTTATTAATCTCAAACTGGATTGTTTAACTGCGACAATATAACGAGAAATGGAAAGAGAAGAATCATCCTTTACAGCAATTGCGGACCTTATTCCCAATTAAATTGCTGACATATGTATACTACCAGCTGATAGACTCCTTCCGTTTTGTCGTAACGGACCAACGCCAGTTGAATCAAAACCTTTAGAGGGTCATAGGCAGACCTTTAACTCGTATATGCGAACTATAAATTCTTGTTTTCGTACTGATGCGTGCTGAAGAAGAGACACGTTTTACAGCAAGCTCTAGTTATCGAAACGAAAATTTCATTAGAGTGAAAATGACTTCATTTTAAGGATAATAGAGTCCGCTGTTCACTTTGCCACATCCTGGCGTCACACTTCAGGTATCCCTGGCAGAACCAACAAACAACCTATAGAGTAAACTTGTGTTCTGCGTCCTTTTTGTCTGAGACCGACACAATAATGACTACAGCTCATATGCTTCCAGAGTTCATTAACAGCTATCTATGTTATTACGCCTTACATTATTAATAGAAAAAATATTCCGAAGGTTACGTCCGGTATTGGCGTCTGAAGCATTGCTTCAGACGCTTACACAATTGTTACTATGAGGTACTTACCCCTCTGGTTCAGGATCGACGACCCTCACAAAGGACACATCGCACGTAGCCAACCTATACAGCAGTTTATTTGATTCACGAATTTCTTGGTGTGTTCACACGCCCTAGGCACATACCTACACACACGTTGTTTCTTTTTCACACTTTCTCAAATAACACTACACTGTTATAATAACAGTATCGCTTTCGGCAAACTCGACACCGAGCCGTTTCGTTTGTCTACAGCTCTTGTTCTCCGTATGGTGATTTGTTCCGACGTACTCCACGTTCGCTGTACCCCAGCCCGAACAGCAACGACAGCCGCTGCAACTGCAGACGCCGTCTCCGCTGCCGTCGGATCAATTTAAGGCTCCCCCTGAACAACCTGCGAAATCGGTCCTCAGACTACTCTAGCACAGCAAAACGGAGAGAGGCATTTAACGGAGAGCCTGTACCGGTTACTTCCGTGTCCTATTTGGGGTACGCTGTGCGTTATAGATACAACGGTAGTAGCATTCGAACTTCATATATATATATATATGTGTGTATATCCTGAAAAAACAATACACAGCAACACTTCTCTGTGGTTGGTGCTGTTTCTTTGTTCGAAAGATTAGTCGTCGTCGTGTCTACAACAACTCACTAGTCAGTGAATAACGGCAACAAAAGCAGCAGCGGCTAGCGAGCAATCAGGCGACCGATCAGACTGGTAATCAACAAAGCAACGGGTCAGCTACTACGGGACCAGTCGACGAAAAAAACCCCCCAGCGAACAACACTGCTTTCAACACTACCATTAACTGCCATAGAGAGATACGCGACACACACATCAAAGCCTTCTCTCCGCCGTTAGCTGTCCATTACAACTGCAACATTGACATACAACGGCATGGCTAATAACAGCAGCAATAGCGACGACATCATCATCATTACGTACGGAACGACACAGCAGCAGCGGCGGCGCGAGAAGTATTTTCGATAATAGCAATAATGATGTCGTCGAGCTCGCCGTCGTTGTCGTGATAGCAGCCGAAGATGGCTGCAGCGGCCGCTGTTAGCTGCAGTTGTAGTGAAGGCAGCAGTTCGAAAAAACGTCCTCTCTTCAATTGTGCGGCTGCTATTTTGTCGTTCTGCGTTGCTCTGTTGTACTATGTAGTTATATCGCTGTATGTCTACTGTTGCCGAGACTGCATAGCTCAGCAGCTGGTAGCAATAGCGACGGGTACGGTGGGCCGTGACGCACAGATCAGCTAACCCGCCAGCCTGTCAGACACAGCTGATAGAAGTCATACGGCGGCACAGAATTGGTGACTATGTCTCAGGCAGGGGCAACAGTAACTATTCGCTGATTCGTATTTTGGCTCTCTTAACTGGACAGGCAAAAAACATCAGCGTCATTTCGGCGCTACCCGGTCATCGCTCCGTCGCTGGTCGCTACTGGTTGCTGGGAAATTCCGCTGCCAACAGCGCTTGTCTTTACCGAATGTTTCTGCATGAGCGATGAACGTCGAGCATCTACAGCACTAGATGGTGTTGCTAATGTCTGTCTGCGGTAATAGTACGAATGCGCATGACTGTATTGCAATAATATACGTAATCATAATGTCACACTACTGCGTACATAAAGGTACTTTGGCACAGATACTTTGCGCCCCGCGCAAGCAAAATCATTGCCTAGCGTTTAAAAACTCGTATGATTAGAAGCAGCTGTTTCGTTTGAATTCGGAAAAAAGGAAAGCCAAGTACGTTCGACCCCTTTAGAGCTGAGTGAGAATGAAGTTGAGTACGGCTTTGTTCAGTGTTCTATTGCCGATAGCTGTGTTTTTCGACTTGTCGCGCTCAAAGGCTTTAGAGATATCTAATACAGTCTGGTGTTGATTGGGCTGGTACTCTATCTGATAATAGCACATAGAGTTATCAGATAAACAAATATTACGAATATACAAATGAGTGGCGCCAATTTCAGGTACATATAGCGCCCTCTGGTGAGGACAGGTGTCATGACGGGCGCAAACCGACGGTCGGACGAGTCGAATTTGGCGGGCAACGGCAGGTCGTTGTCGTTGTTGATTGACCTAACTGAACAAGCCAACGAACGTTCGCTGTACTTCTTCCATTACTGTGGAACACTGCAGTAGTCAAGACAGTGATTTGGCTGGCGTCTCCGCCGTGGACAGGGCCTTAGCAGTAGCAAATTTTGGGTTAGTGACTACAGTCGGAGGAGCAGTCCGTGAGCCCGTAATCACCCGGTGCCGTCCGCAGTGTATGTCGACAAAATTGTCTGTCGGCACAACCAGCCGACCCTAAACAGCAGAAGCGTGAGTGTCAGTGCCAATACAATATCAACAAATGACCCTGATACGTGAAACAGCGATAGACTAGATACGAATACGAGCCTGTTAGCTAGAAAGAGGGGGTGCAGATATCGAGCCGCTCATTCTCGTTACCTCGAACGTTGGTTGCGGCTGGCGCCGTGGGGTGGGACAAAGTTAAACAGTGCGTGATCTGGGTCGCGGTGAGGTCTGATTGAAGGTTTGTGCGTGTAACGCAGCTCATGGCTAGCGTTAACTGAGTGTGGGCAGCACCAGAAGCGAAAGTGTCGGGACTGGGGTACTACAGCAGGTACTGCTGGTGTTGCTGTGTGATCGAATGCCAAAAAGAGTTGTCCGAAAAAGGAGTACGGATGTGTTCCATTTGGAAATATCAGCAGTTGAAATAAATTCAAGGGGTAAACTCCTATCGTTCTGTACTTCTTACGGCTTCAGCTGCAACGTGAATCAACAGAAAAGTGCGGCTCAAAATGATAGCGCCTCCGGGCGACTCGACCAAAGAACTTTTCGCAGATGGACGTCATGTTGCGCAACGTTCGTCGGCGAAACGTGCGAACTGCAATCCGAATATTAGCAATAACGCCGAATTGGTCAAGGTTCGTCTGCTACCTCATAGCATATATAGATAAGTATATGCATAAAATATTTTTACGTTTCTTCCGAAAAGTGTACCACTAGACATGCTCGATACGCTGTCGACGGAGGAGAATACCAGTTTTGCCGTAGGCTTTGAGACAAGAAAAAAAGAGTAAAAATTATCCTTTCGTTGATGTACAACTGCTGTCGCAGTAACAACAAGAAGTCTCAAAGTGTCACCTGGAATGCTATGACGAGCATCTGTTTCTGGCCTAATTGTCAGACAGCTATTACATGGAAGGTGTGCGGAAGAACGTGACGGGATCAACCAGTCATGGGTGATGGCAGTAATGACGGTGGTAACCTGCTGCTAATGCGGGGTGTCTGTCCGTCTTACTGAGTTGCCCGCGCCATTCTTAACCAACAGGTTTTGGCGCGCAACTACCAGCGCCACTGGCGAAGCTCGCTCTGTGCCATGCTATTCTTACAAACAGGGCAGCTAGTCAGGAGAACGCGACCCCAAAACGACGAGAAGCTACCTTGCACAGCTACTGCTTTAAATTTTAGTGTTTGTGTATTGGGTGAAAGAAAGTCACAGGTGTCAATGGAAGGGTATTTAAGCTTAGGAACAACGAAAGCTATCGTGCACTAGCACAATAGTGGGGATCACAAAGTCAGTTCTTAAACCAGTTAGCAGGGCACATTAATGAAAATATGTTCATAATTAACATCAGCTCACGTAACATTGGTACAGACAGAGGGAATATTGATCTGATTTAGGTGTTCTCGACAAATTTAGTGTGTCCACTTTGAACTCTATGTGCTACAACGGGTTACCTATTTATGCCAGTAAATTCTTTTTTCGCAATGGCAGGCCCGTAATGTGAAGCAACATTGTTATGGGCAAGGGTTAGAAATTCTTGTACAATTATCTAACCTAATTCAACTATCATAGGAAACTATAATAATATGGCTTCCTTCAAAATTTTGAAAGGTTTGAAAAGATACGGTCACAGGTGATATTAATTCTTCCTGCATATTTAGGTGCCAACATAGAACAAGCACAACGACTAATAACGAATAGACGTGCTTAACCGTGCTTTCGGATGAGAATGAGCTGCATATGCTCGCTCGTTGCGAGTGATAGCAAACCTGAACTGGATAAATGTAACCATATCCCGATCGGGCATAACATTTGATATTCGTATTGTACATGCTTGTCGTCAAGTTAATCACGGCCAGCTGCCGTCACCAGCGCTATTTATCGGTACTGAAATGCATTTCGTTAGTATGTTTTGTATGATATAGTAGCAAATAATGATGCTTTGTATATAACTTAAATAGATTACTTTGAATCTCATAGTAGAAAGATAATGCTGACACCTTGAGAAACTGCCGCTACTCTGAGTAAAGAACCATATTTCATCTTGGTGCCCCAACTCAACTTGTTCGCTTGACAGGATACGGTGCTCTATATATATGTACTACTTATTTTGATTAAGAAATAAGGGTTCGTATTATAAATTCACAGTTGTAAATGCCTATTTAACGCAACTGCTATAATTTGTTTTTCTTATTGCAAGTTAATACATTTTTTTATGGCTCCATTGTCCTTTGAATGCGCATCCCACTCTTCTGTTGAAAATTTGTTTGTTTTAATTTCATTGAAATGTTCAAATCTTTCTATTTGCAGAACAATGGCAAAGCAGACGTCCTCGTACTTCAAGACACCGTGGATGAGTTTGTCTCAAAACTAAGCCGTACTCTTCGACAAAAGCAGGTTGTACAGGACGAGGTCATTCAGAAACAGGCTGAACAACTCAATCCTATTGCAGGTACCGCAAACAGCGAGAGCAACAACAACAGCACGGTTGGTATTTAAATAATAAACTAATAATAATTAAATAAGTAATGGAACATTCTCAAGTATAGATCCCTCAAAAAGCAAAGCAAGCTTATCGGAGCCTGAACATTGCGGATATCAACTGTAGATTTTCTCTTTAAGTATCGGTTCGAATCATGATGTGTGAAGCATATATGTATTCCTTCAATTTAATCCTCCCAACGAAGCTCGTTGAATATATAGAAAAAACGTTTATTATTCTATTACGGATGATCTACACATCTTCTTGGTGGTCTGGGGGCGCGCAGTGTTCAAAGCCTTACCCAGCATCTATCTGGATGCCCTTATCCACGCTAAATGCACTAAAACACATCAAATGAATGGAAAAAAATTTACACTAGTCTTGCGCGCTGTCTGCAACTGGGTACTGTTGATCGAGATTACTACCTTTTTTGCAGAGTTTCGTCTCTATATTGCTTCTAATTTTAAAAAGTAATAAGTTCTCCGATATACACAGGATAAACATTTACCTAATCAATCATATACGTTTCGGTCCTTATGGAAAATCTGACTTGGATCCTATGAAATTATAACGTCAATTCGTGAAGTATTTTGTTACATTTAACTAGAAACTTAGTGCTAGGCTTGTAATAGTTTTTCATGTTCATGTCTTGTTCGAAACGCTTATCTTTTGGCAAATGCTTTCATTTAGAAGCGTGACATCTGCACAGCAAAACCGGTATCACTGCTATAGACACCAGACAGAACGATAGCATTTACAAAAAATATGAAGTAATTGAAAAATTAAGTTCTTCAAGTGAGTCCTTAAGAACCCTCGTAATAAACCATGGAATGCTTTTCACTTTATTTGCACGGAATGAGTCGGCAAAATGCGCATCTTATTGAAAACAATTGTTTTTTAAAAACAGAGTCAAAGTTCAATGGAGCAGTCTGTCGTGGCAACAATGGATCCAAGTATGTCGCGACGCAAAGGGCGACCACGGAAAATAGTTGGGACGCCAGCTGTGACGCTGGACGAAAACCATCGTCAATGCGCAAAAACGACGTTGCTTGAGGAACAGAAAACTCTGCTCGTTCCAATACAAAATGACTTACACCGAACGTCGACTGCTACGAATAATGGCGAGCCAACGAAGTACGAGTCAGCAAGCACGTCGTCGATTACAAACCAAAATACTGTAAGGTCAAATAGAAAATTTTTTTTGGCTGAAATTCATTTGCAGCGATTGAAAGATACGGAGGAGGTTATCCGGAGGGCAGCAATTCAATATGCGGAGGGACGTAGTGCTCGGCGAAATCGAAAAAGCGAAGGCTCTCCCTCAAGTAAGTTCTTACCGTATCTTATGTTCAATAGATCAGAAGGTTCATACATGAATCTAGTAAGGAAAAATAGGTAGCCCAATAACACGTATGAACACAGAATGGACATTTTCACTTTGGATTTGAATTCAAAATTTGTGGCAATTAAAAATTTTAGATAACAATAATGTGGTATGTTTTTTTCCTGTTGCGCGTTCTTGTACTCAACGTTGACACTCAGACTTATCCCCGGCATCTACAGACCCCATCGTTGTTCCAGTTACAATTTCACCCGGAAGAACAGCTGTTGCGTCTTCAAAACCTCGATCGATCTCACCGAGTTCATCTTTTGACAGTTCTGAAGCAGAGTACAAACCAGGCGAATTGGTTTGGTGCAAATTAGGCAATTACCCCTTCTGGCCATCGATTGTATCGACGGATCGAGTTAGTCGACGTTACGTGCAAAAATCTCGGTTTGGATACCTGACGTACTATGTTCAGTATCTTGGGGAGAAGGTACCAGTATACGGTTGGACCGGTGCACCGCAACGAGTGATACCATTCAAAGGTCTCAAAGAGTTTCGTCGGCTAGTGGATGCTAGGATTGCTCAAGAAAGTAGCAAGGTAAGAGGCCGGCCTACTTTATGGACCATTTTGGCCCTTACTTTTTTAGTGCACTACCAACGCCAGAAACTCGGAAGTGTCGGTAAACTGACCAACAATCTAAGATTATCCTCTGTCAAAATCAAACCAGTCTAATTTGGTGTTATTCCTTGTTTTTGTGCAGTTGAAGGTCCGCGAACTTCGTGACTTTTTTGCTCTTCGGTGCGTTAGCGAGGCTCGTAGGGAAAGTTGGAACCGAGCGGTATCTATTGCAGAACAACGGTTGGCCAACGGCCCCAATGCTCATGATGGAATCATTAAAAGTTCGGAAATTGAGGAAGATCTGGATGGCAACCCTGTTCGGGCTAATGAGGCTGGCGATAATTATAGTGATGTGCCTAGTGGTCGATCCTTGGTAGGTTAGCTTTTGAACTCAACTTTGTAGTAGCTTTCATAGTAAAAAAGTTATTATTACATATATAAATGTACTCTGAACGTTTCATACCGAATAGTTTAGCGTATGAAATATGTACGAGTTGGCGCTGTATAACATATTTCATATGTTTCTGTACGACCGTAACAATCCTCAGCATAACCGCAATAATTTTAACATGCACAGAGTAAGTGAATGAGAAATAGTTCGAAGGGAAGAGTTCGACAACAATGGGTAAGACAAAGTTGAATTAAAAAGAAATGTGATGGGAAAATGACGAAGTGTAAGTAGTGAGCACATTGAGATGCTTACGAGTTATACACTTGCAAGATGGTTGTTGAGTAAAAAGTAGATCATTACTCCACTTTTATTCGCCTATCAAGTAACTTGGCCATAATGATTTATAGCAGATAAGCATGGAGTTCGAAAAAACGCAAGTGTACGGTAGTATCTGAATCTTCAGATAACGATTGAATAAATCATAATAGCAAAGTTAATTCACATGTTAAAAAAGTGAACTGAGAAAAATGATTTTGTTCACTTTGCTCGATAATACCAAGAAATTCAGTATTCTAAAAGATACATTACTGCATCGGCATACATATTTTAGTCGCCGTCTTCGGATGGTTTTGGTGCCGTGTCTTCCGAGGCGTCCCATCGAAGTCGTAAGCGGTCACCTGGCTCATATTCATGTTCGAAAGGATCCATATCATGTGACAAACCTACAAGTCAGATGGCGAATAGCCAAAAAAAGATGCGAGCTCAACTTCAAAAACGTCTCGCAAAGCTAGTGCGTCGTACATCATTAAATAGCCATAGGCCAATATTCGATGGATCTTCAGACAGTAGTTCTTCGTCCGATGGCGGTTTAAGCTCAGCCGTTTCCGTTAATTCTGACAATACTCCTAGATCAGTCAGTAGTATCACTTCGGATCGTTTTGTGACATCTCACTCTGCGGTCGCTGGTGCTTTTCGCAAGGATCTTTGTAGCAAACGGCGTCAGAACGTTGTGGAGCACGGACAGGTCAGTGGCCACTTCGTCTGCAATTATTAAATACCTTTGTTTAAGATTAAGGGATAGATAGAAAAGCGAATTGAATCGATTCAGGCTTCATTATGATTTCGCTAACTATAGTGATAAGCAACCCACACATGCCATAGGTGAAGACATACAATTAGTCTTAACGGTAGCTTTTGTATACCCAATAAAATGAAGCACAATAATAATGTCTTTGTTGCCCATTTGCTAATTTCAGCTTGCAAAAGCTGTCTGCTCGACTTGCCTAAAGGCCGAGATTGAAGGTGGTGAAGTATTGGTAGCGTGTGCTTGTGGCAATTTTTTCCATAAGAGTTGTTGCCCGGAAGGTATGAGCACGATCGCTAACTCTTCGTCCAGTAAAGTACTAGTAACGGACAATAGCAAGAACTTTGACGCCGGAAAAGCCAGGGAAAAAAAGACTGAGAAAAACGCTGCTGAGGGGGTACAAGAAACGATACCAGAACAAAGAATTGACAGTAGTGAAACTGTCACTCCAGAGGAGACCGATGCTGCAGAGAGGCAAGTGACTGAAGGCCGATGTGCACAATGCATTTCTACGTTATGCTGTATTTGTGGAGCTGAACGCGAAAATGAAGAGCCGATTGCGGCCCGTTGCTGCTCCCGACGGTATCACTTACATTGTGTACAGCAAGCTAGTTTATTTGTGAAGCTCTCTGCAGATAAAAAGGTAAATATGTCTGAAGGACCCAACGGCTACCACTATATTTAGTGTCGACCGATTCCTTCTCGAAATACAATAGTCACGTAACTTTGTATGTAAAAAACTTTGTATGTACTTTGTAAAAAAGTATGCGAGTGTGTATACAAATTTGAACAAGAAAAAGAAAAAGAAATTTGACAAGAAAAAGCCGTTACAGTTCAAAAAAGAATCCATAACTTCCACAGTTGCTAACATTGACTGTCGTTCATGTTCTTTCCGTTGTCTTGTTGTTTCTTTTGTTATATTATTTCAAACATTCAACTGAATTATGTTGCGAACGACAACGTTGATGTAGAAAATGCTCGGCTGCCCTCGAGATACCTGTCTTTCATGCCACTCCATCCAGCCAGGTATCTCGGTGAGGAAAAGTGGTTTTATCAGATGCGTCAAGTGCCCAGCGACGTACCATCGTCGGCGATCCTGTGTTCCCGCAGCTTGCACCTTTTTAACGGCAGACCTTGTCCTATGTCCCCGTCACCTAAGGACATCGACGAAAAAAGTGAATATGGATTGGTGTCATGTTTGCGGCGAGACAGGCGACCTTGTGTGTTGCGACGTCTGTCCGGTATGCGTTCATCCGGAATGCGTTAACATATCGGGTCCGGTCGACGATCTTCGTTATGAGTGTCCCGAATGCTCGGACTGGATATTTCCTGCCTTCGGCCGAGTGGTTTGGGCAAAACTAGCAAATTATATTTGGTGGCCAGGCTACGTCGTGCACCCGTCCGATCTGCCGGAAGCTGTGCGAAAAGCGAAAAAACCTGGGGACCATATGGCGGTCTATTTTTTCGGCACACACAATTTCTCTTGGCTGCTTCTTACACAGGTCTATCCGTTTCAAGCTGATGATGAGCGACAATCACGAAGCAAGACGTTTAAAAGGAAAAGCGCAACCTGGAACAATAACTATCAAAGAGCCTTAACCGAAGCTGTCGATGCATTGGAGAGATGGAACGCTGAACAGACCATGAAAACGACATTTGCTGGACCACCAAAATATCGTCACATTACTGTCAATACGGTACTCGTACGCATAGTGTTCACTTCGAAAGTTCGGTAGTTAAAGCCAAAACTAACTGGCTGTAGGTCTGCTTGGTTCATAGAGTAACGTTCAGCTTAAATTGTTCGCTGATATTGAAACACTGCCTTGCTTAGAAGATACTACCATAGAACTCATTGTTAATAGCAATATTGTTTCACTTCAGCTTCAGTCATTTTTTTTTCTATTATAGTTGAAAAGTGAAAGCTGTCGTGTGCCTCGGCCCCGCGACGATGAGCAGGTATGTATCTGTACTGCAAAATCGCCATGTAATGATGTCACCTGCTTAAATCGAGCGATCAATATCGAATGTGGATCAGGATGTCCGATGGGTGAAAAGTGCCAAAACCGAAGATTTCAACGTCGTCAGTACAAGAAAACGACAACGTTTTTGACATCTGACGGCCGCGGTTGGGGCCTGCGATCAGAAGAGGCTATACGCAAAGACGACTTTGTCATCGAATACGTTGGAGAGGTGATCGATCGAGAGGAGATGCGTCGGAGACTGGAAAGGCTGGCGGCCGAATCCGATAAAAATGTCTACTTCTTGACGGCTGATTCAAAACGTATTATTGATGCTGGACCAGCTGGCAATGTCAGCCGGTTCATTAACCATTCGTGTTCTCCTAACTTGTTTGCTCAAAAGGTTTGTATTACCTGATGTCTGGAGATCGTAAAGGATACAAAGCCAAACGGGTATTTGAATTAACCGTGGAAGTGCAAATTTCGCGGTAATGATATGACCGTTGTATATTAAATTGGGTTAATAATGAAAAAGAGATCCGGGTTAAACCGTTACGTTTCTTTGGAGGGCTTTCTTAAGAGCCTTGCCATGTCGTGGCTTTTTGCTGAAACTCTTGGTGAAGAAAAAATTGTGTTTAATTCCCAATATTCTCATGAACAGTGGCTTGTTCGAGGAGAACCTTCTGTTGGCTTGTTTGCTGTGCGCGAGATTCAACCTGGTGAAGAACTAGTATTCGACTATCAGATGGAGTTCGAGCACACGTTCAGGCACGAGTGTCTTTGTGGAGCAGCGAATTGTGCCGGGTTTCTGGGCATCTCCACACCGACGCAGAGATCACCGTCGCCTGCCGAATCTGGTGCATTGTCGGCTACGTCGAGCACGAGCAGCAAAAAAAGCTCCATTAGTGATAAGCCAAAGAAGAGAAAGCTAATGAAAAAACGGAAAGATCCAGCTAAGATGATTGTTGCAAAGGCTACCCGAACGATCGCCAACCTCAAAAGGCGTTATGATGCCGGTGCAAAAGGTCGGTTTTGTTGTAACTGATGATGTTCCACAAACATGGACTCCCATCTTAAAATTTAACTCGAATGGATTTCTCAGCTTTTGACGATTAATAATAGATAGTCGGAAAAAGAATCAACATAGTGAAGAACAGATGTTCAGCAAAATCTAAAAAATACCTCTACTGAATCTATTAACGCTTATAGCTCCTGAGATATATACCTATAAGTGACTACTGCTTGACGCACTTGGTATATAACAGATTATTACTGACTATTACTATCTCTATTATAGACTATTACTGTCGTGCCGTGAAAATGTCCATGAAAGCAACATTAACGAGAAGTGTTTTTGATTGTCCCGTGTTGCAGATAACGAACCCATAAAAAAAGTGGCCCGCCGTGGGCGACCTCCCAAAAAGCTAGCAACTGGTTAATAGCTACTACTGCCATTATACCCATAGGTGATAGAATTTTACAATTAAGATGATTCGATGTGTATATGGATCACACGTTACGCATTATTGTAAGTAGGTTATATAATTCAATAGGAAATAATGAGTCTGTCATGTGTTTCTTGTTGTGGTCTTTTTTTGTGTTATAAGCTATTCGTACATAACGTGGAAGGTTATATGGTTATAAAAGCTTGACTTTGCGACAATCGTCAACCGTTCAAAGTTATTGAGCTATTGTGTAGTTTACGCAAAACAAAGGAATTCGTATTTTTGTATTCTACCTTAAGTAGATGAAAGCGTAGTCATTTACGTCGCACTTGATAACGCCAAGGGGCCAATGGCTAAATATTATATAATGAATTATATATAATATAACAATAATAGTTATAAGAGATATTACTCTATTATTATTAT